CCCCCCCCCCCCCCCCCCCCGTCTGTCTGAATCTAAAAAGTGACAAAAGTGTCCTAAGCAATCAGATTATTTCATCAGTAGGTTTGCAGCAGCACAAGAGATTGAAACTCTGCTAAAACATCTGTTTCCTGACTGGTTCATTATTCCTGAAGTAAACTTCCAGAAACCGGCTTTGTGTCCTTAACAGTAAGAATTCAAAAGGCTGGACATGAGGCTGACTGCTAAGTGGAAAAGTCAGTGTTTTTTGTGACGGCACAATGCAGCCACCTGTGTACTATTACAGAGTGGAAATTAGTCATTTGTCTGGTATAGCTTTTGGTCTGACAAATTCTGGAGGTAATAAAACAGTCCTCATTTTTGTGGATTTTTAAGTCGTCTTCCCTTCTCTCTCCACCCACAAATGCCATGCACATGCCTCTCTTAACCATGATGGTTTTGTACTGTTGGCTGAACTTGCTCGTATGAACTTGTAGAGATTTTTTTTTTTCCCCCAACCCCTACTTACAAGATGAATTTCTGAGGGAGGAATTCAGTTACCCTTTGTGCTTCCTTTGCTATGGTTTTATACATCCAAGTTATAGGCCTAAACCTGGTATTGGTTTTAATCCTTACATTCTTTTAATTCTATATTTCTAAAGTGAAGGAACACAAAATGACCCCTTTTCATGGCTATATTTCTTCAACTCCAAACCAGGAAAGAAGCAGGCAATTATTAAATCCAAGCAGTTTGATTTTACATCAGTGTGCAATCCTTTCACTTTGAGAGAAACCCTTTTCAAAAGCCTAGCTGAGTAGGCTACAGTTGAGTAGGTTTGTTGGTGTCCACACTGAGGACTAAAATGAAGCCTGCTCCTTGAAAATGTGCTGGTAGGTGCAGAGAGATCAGGCCTTGTTTTCTGTCTGTGAAATGTTCATATTGCAGAGAAACTCCTGTTTCTTCTCTTGTTTTCCCATTGGTGGAGAGGAAGAGAACCTTAAATCTTATTAAGACAGCCGGGAAACTGAAGACAACTAGTGCACCTTCAGATCTGCCAGTTGAAGTGCATCTCACACTTGAATGCTTTTACTTAGTGCCTCCTACTGTATCTGCCTTGAGCAGTGGAATGATTTGCTTCATGATAGTTTAAAGTCACAACCATGATCATCACGGCCCGAGATGAAGAGGGTATTTATTTCCTGCTACACCACTATCATTATGTCTCTCGGTAGGGCAGCGGTGTAGCATGGTTGATGTCGAACCTGCCATGCCTCCGTGTTGCCTCTTCTCCTGTGTTGTTTCTAGGGCTTTTGCTGTCGTTTTTTTTTCCCCTCTCCTCCTGTGAAAGGAGGGTGATGAAACCTCTGCAGTTCAACAGCCTCAGTGGCTAAACCACTCCCTTAGATTTATCATCGTTTGACACTAGCTAGCTTATTGAAAAACAGGCTCGCAGATAATGAGAGGAAAACGTTTCTGAATGTGCTCAGACCTCGCCACCAACACTGGGTATTGTAAATGTCTTCCTCACTTAGGACTGTGTTTTCTTTTTCTATTTATGGGTGGTTTTTTTAAAGGTCAACTTAACCTGAGGCCTGGAAGCAACTTCGTGAGTGCAGCTCATGTGCTTGCAGTGTTGACAGTGGCTGTAGAAACTGGGAGAGAGCTGAGCCCCACTGAAGCGAGGGGATAGCCTTGGTAGTCATCTCCAGTGAGGCAAGGGACTGCTGTTGAACTTGGCCTTGGGGAGTTTAAAGCAGAGAGATCTCGTGTGCTTGATAACAGTGATGGATAGTGTTGTCAGGCCCTTTGCCATTAAATGCAAATATAATGCGTAATAACCCCAAACGGTGTAATAAATTACCTAATAAATGACATAAGAACTACATAATGTGCAACAGTGCTATGAAGGGTTTGTAACAGAGTTCTTTCTGTCCTGGGGAGGTGGTGTACATGCTTCAGCTTGGAGTGAGGCATTTGGCTGAACACTTCTGCCCAGTAGGGTGGCATCAAGAGCTTAAGAACACTGAGAAATGAAGTGTGCAATGAAAAATAGTCATCATTCATGCATTTTTGGTCGTTCTAACGCCATGGAGGATTTCTCTTAAAGAGGAAAGAATCCCAAAGCAGTATTTTCTGGCATTTGCGCACATTCTATTTTTATGAATGCCAAGGGCACGTGGAGAATAAATGGGTGGCCGAGGCCCCCTAGTGCCGCCAGAGCACACTGCATGCCTCAGGCGCCGCAGCCACAAAATTGCACCTTATATTTACTTTTCTTTTTTAGTATAAAGAATCACAGAATCGTTAAGGTCGGAAAAGACCATTAGGATCATCAAGTCCAAGCATCAACCCAACACCACCATGCCCACTAAACCTTATCCTGAAACAAGAAAAGAAACACTTTTTAGGATGAAGTACCTCATGATGGACTAGTTGTTCATGTGCAATTGTTTCTTTACTGGAAACATGGATTGTCCCTTCATGTCTTGTTTTGCAAAGCTGTGCAAGAATTGAGAGAGAGGATTCTGTTTGCAACCGTTATCATTAATATTTGTGTTGCAGGCAAAAAACTATACAGGGAAAATGAAGTCTAGTAAAGTAAATTTTTTTACCACAATTATCTCTGCCCAAGAATGAACTGGGAGGAAACACTACACAGCTTGTGGTGTCTGATGCTGTGGTGTATTATATAACTTGGGAATGGGAGGGGTGGGGAAGAAAAAGTGCTAGTGAGGGAGGAACGAGATAGTTGTGGGGTTTTGTTTTGTTTTTGTGGTTATTAGCCATGTGGTTTTGGTTGAATTGCTAAGACCTTGAGAATGACTTCCAAATGCTATGATCTAAGATACAGTGGTGTGGACATATGTTAGAGTAGATTCTCTTAGTGCTTAAAATTTAAATTAAAGTGTATATTCAGAACTAGTGTAAAGTAGTACAGTAATCCATCTCTGTCTAGGTAAAAGAGAGAGTCTAGAGAAAAGGTCCACGTAAGGTAACTTAATGGTGGCCTTAGACTATTACTAAAACAGCTCTTTTCAGTATTTCTGTGTTGCCCTGGTCTCAGAATTTGTTGGAATTGTGGCTTTTGTCAAAATCTAGCTATTTACTCTTGTGACAAAGCTTTGGCATTCAAACAGATATGAATAATAGCTAATAAAGCTTTAATAAGAAATTAATGTTGGTGTTTAGTCAGTTAGTTGACTAGTCACTCTTGCCAGTCTGTAAATTCTCCCCCTCATTTTTCTGTTCCAGAAATTTTTAATAAGCAAGAGAAGGTGATGAGCCTTGTCCAGATTGCTATTGTGTGTTATTCTTTAACAGTGAAATAAAAAATGGGTATGTAAAGCTAGGCCTTGATAAGTAGATAATGCTTTGTTTCTGGATATTTTGTAAAACAGTGTCTTCAGAGATACAGTTGCCCAACAGACCTGAAATGTGCTTTGAGGGGGAGTAGGCAGGAAATGAGGAGGATAAAAAGTTATAAGGAATCTCTCTGGGTGACGGTAGATCTGTGCCTTTTGTTCTTATTTTGGGTGCACTTTGGAAGCCTAAAACTGGTGGTCTCTGTACAAATTCCTGTTCACTTGTTGACAGAAACTCCCCCTTTAGGGCTACCATTTCTTACAGTAAATGATAACTTTTGTCAAAATACCTGGTTATGTCAAATGGTTTTGATGGTAAACTTCATTGTTTCTCTTCAAAGAAGGTAATGTTGATGCTTCCAAGGTTGTAAAACAAAATGTGCTGAAAGTGAAGTTTTCTGCTCTTTGTTTTGTTTCTTGTTTTTAGATGTTGAGATGACCAAAGACTATAGGTGTGATCTAGCTGTGCCTCTATACTATCTTCTAGATAAGCTCCAGTTAACATCTGAGTTTCAGAAGCTTTTGTTCAGTTGAACTTTTCTATGACCAACAGTAGCAGACTTAGGAAGAACAAATAAAAATAGAGTTGGGATATTTTTTCCTCATTAGTTGAGCTATATCTCATAGTTTCTGTTGCAGAGAATATGTTATACTTTGTCACAGTTTTCTGCTGTTTTTAAGGAGCAGTTCAGAGTGAAGAAGCCTAGTTGTGGGATATTGAGGAGTTGTGTATGGCACTGAATATATCCTACCATATTCAGTGTTAATCCATTAAACTATTCCGGAATTGTCAATGTCTCAATTGTGTTCCACAGCTATTCCAAACACTTACATTTTTACAAACTAAAAAAGGAAACATTTAGTGTAACATGTTCTTTTACCTTTTTTTCTTTCCCCCCCCAGTTCTTCAAGGATCTTATGCATAGCATATGAGGTTTTGCAAGGCTTGCAATATATGAACAAACATGGAATGGTCCACCGAGCGCTTTCCCCTTGCAATATTCTTTTGGATCGAAAGGTACAGATACAAAAATAAATTTGTGTTTTCATTTGGTTTTTGGGTTTGCTTCTTACTTCCAGCAAGGAGCATGCTGTGTCATATATGGAGACGGGGCGGTCACAGCCCTTCTGATGAGGGAAAAATTGCATATCTGGAAAGGTGGTTTGTTTTTTGGCTTTTTTTTTAAACTACAGTTTTCCCCCATTTCCTAAATTTCAAATGTATTTTGGATTTTATTTTTCTCTTTTCCTGTTTTCTTCTATCCCAAACCACTTTTTTTACCCTTTTCTTCTTAAGGTAGTAATCTAAGTCTACCTGTCATCATTGTAATTAATTACAAGACCTTCCTAGCTTTTTGAATAGGAAAACATTTATTCTGGCTTCTTGTAATAATGTTAGTAATATTGTAATGTATACATGATTGTAATGTAACAATAATGTTAGTAATATTTCCTGTTTTTCATGGTTCCAATACTTGACTTTTAAGATATTGACATATTTCTTTGTTCATGTTAAATTATTAAAATTCCAGCGTCAGTCAAGTCTGTTGTCACAGACTACTGAGGTGGCGATGTCGAATACAGGTTCTGCTCGTAAAAGCTGAGAGAAATTAATAGCTGCTGTTGTACTCAGAGCAGTTGCTTCATCTGAACTGACAGCTGAAGAGCTTAGCCTGTCTGCATAACCCCTCTGTCCTTCTCCTTCTTACTCAGTTTAAATAGACTAGCTAGATTCTCCACTTGGAAGGCAGATAGAAAAGAGGAAGAAGGAAGGAAAGAACACTGTTTTTTAATGTAAACAAATGAAAATAATAATAATGGTCTAACAAGGAAAAGTACTTTGGGATTTCAAGATAGTCCTAAAATCAATAAAAGAGCAAGAGACCATAAATTTCTAAACTTTTCCCCTGCACTTTGAATAGCTTGCTCATGTAGCCTTCACTGTTGCACCATCTGCAGGCTGGCTGAGTATAATTCAAAATCCAACAGAAACAATACCTAAGTTTAACTTCTATGCCTATTTTTTGTTGTTTTGGTGTTAACTTTCTGCCTCCACAGAATAAAAGCATGCACTCCGAAAACTTGTTTGTTTGAAACATGTGTTGATGTAGTTAAGGAAAGCAAGATAGTAATGAGTTGATGGGAAGGACTGGAGGAGCAAGGCTAGGTAAATGGAAAAGGTGAGGGAATAGTGGTGATGCTTAGGGAGATCTAGGATTCAAACAGGATTTTGAGCAGTTTTCAAACAGGAAAAACATTCAATAGAGTATTTAAGCCTTTGTAATTTACTGAAAATACACTGTAACTTACAAAGTTCTGATTTTCTTGCATGTTCTAAACAATGTGATTACTTAATGCTCTTGGAAAGTAAAAGCGTTAGAAATAAACACCTTATTAACTGGTAGTGGAGTTCTGCGTAATAGATGAGACAGAAATGTAAGAGGGCGACTGTTCATAGGTATCTGTCTTCTGACAGCTGATGCAACTTGAAATTATTTTCTTTTTTTTTTAATTTAAACACAGATTCTTCTACTGTCTGATTCTGTTGCTCTTAATTTATTTTTTTTCCTTTTCAGGGACATGTGAAGTTGGCTAAATTTGGACTCTACCATATGACTGCTCAAGGTGTTGATGTTGATTTTCCTATAGGGTAAGGATGTAGCTACACAATACAAATATATCAGGGATGTATTTTTTCACGAAATATGTTTTGAGGAATCATCTTCAAAAATGTGTTGTATGCACAGGGCTCTTAAAGGTTGCTGCTTTAATTCATATCTGTTGCATACACCCCTTATAGAGAAACTTCTGATAATGTCACTGAAGAGGTTATCTGGCTAGGTGAAATTAATGAAAGACAGAGAATGGGCACCATGCAAGCATGTTACTGTAACTATGTGATGTCAGTCCTTATTGCCTAGATTTGACTTCAAATGCTAGTAATTGCCTGTGACTCGGATTCTGGAGGCACAATCTAATTTCAGATTTAAGAAAAAGCACAATCAGTGCTTTACTGTCGCACACCACTGTAGGCCTCTTGTCTCTATCATTTTGTGATTTATTTTCAAGTGATCTTACTGTCTAGCCAAAGTGACATGCTTTGTTGCAGTGTTTCCTTGTCACTTGTTTTGTTTTTTGAGGAGTCATATTTTTTACTACTGAAATACTGAGCTGATTCGCAAACACATACCCAAAAGAAGTAATGATGTTTCCCTTCAAAAGGTGATTTCAGATTTTTTTTTTTAAGTGTTACAATGAATTGTTGACAGAAAAAGTGATAATGTTATTTTGAAATGATCTAGCAGCAGGTAGAATGTGTCCTCAACACCTTTTGTTACTTTTTTTTACTTTAACTCTTTTTACTTTAACTTTTTAAACTTTGAATTAAAGTTATTTGATGCAAACACTGTCAAAGGAGGGGAATCCTGCCACCACCCCCAATATGGGTCTAGGATACCTTTATTTAATGTACTAGTGCTGAAACTCGATATACATTTTGAGATACGTAGACATACCATTTTGGAAGCTGCTGTTACTTCCTCTCACAGAAAGACAGAGCTAGTGATTTAAGATTTGACCTTTTATATAGTAGGCACTTTGCTGCAATGTGTAGATTTTGACTGAGTAAAATAGAACAATGTGCATTGCTATGAATTCTAGTTCCTCGGAATGCAAAATTATTTTGATTACTGTAACTGAAAGGTAGGGTTTTTGGGCAGAAAGGATATTACTTAATGTTGCTGCATCTTTCTAGGTACCCATCATATCTGGCACCTGAAGTAATTGCACAGGGAATAGTCAAACCAAGTGATCATACTCAGTGTGAGAAGCCTCTGCCTTCTGGCCCTAAATCAGATCTGTGGTCTCTTGGTATAATATTATTTGAGCTTTGCATGGTATGTAAGAGGATAATTCTCTTGATTGTGACTCTTGGGGAATAATTACATTAACTTGATTGCTCTTGAGTGTGGGGTTAATGACACTTTGCTCATCACCTGAGTCTGAATATCAGACTATGCTAGCATTCCTACCTGGGCTGTATTGGTGGTAGTTTTAGTAGTAGGATGCATATTGGCTTAGTATGAGTATATGCGTTAACTATGAAGGGCCTGTTAAGCCACAGTATTGTGATGGCATGATGGAATTATCAGGGAGGAATAGCTTCTGAACCAAGAAACCTCTCTAGAGAACTTGTTTTATTTGCGCTTTTAAGCATGAAATAACCACTGCTGTCATGCCTTCATTCTCCTTGGGAAGGATGAGAAACTAATAGTTTCATGGAGAGGAAGAAAAGGGAGAATCTACTTTACCACCAGAGTTTAAAGAGCTGCTGTATGGGATTAAGGGTTTATTTGGTAAATGCGTATTTGACTCTAGAAGTTGAAATAAATTATGATAGCATAATCTTCACTATTTGTATATGTTAAACTGGACTTTTTTCATTCAAATACAGCAACATTCTGTAGGGAGGTGTGATCTAGCAAATACCTCAATATTGATATTTAGTCTCATTATATAACTAAATTGTCAGACAATTGTATGGTCAAAAACCTGTTTTATATAGTGATTAGATCAGGACATTGGAAATAGTCTTCTTTTGCATCTTCTGCTGTTCTGTAAATTTGCATAGTGTTCATGGATCATTATTTATTCTTTTGAATAAGTACATTTTCTTAAAAATGCAATAATTATATTTTCTGAAACACCTTTAAGGGGTTTTCAGATTACTTTGCAAAAACACTGTGACATAATAGAAGCTATGATGATTACCATGTTTAGTAATTAATTACCTTTGTTCTGTTTACAGTGGAAAAAATAGTTTTTGAAAGCCTGTTACTGAATTAATAATAAACCTGCAGGTTTGCTAAGGCAGCTTGGGGCTCTGTTTTGCATAATGTTTTTGATCTTGCATTTGTTCCAGTTAAGAGGCAGTATAATTGATACCTTTTTTCTTTATGATGGCATTAAGCTGTTTCTGCTATAGTTGGGGTAAATAATGTTTTCTGTTCTAACAGAGAATTTTCCTAAATCTAAAATTAATGTGTAAAAGCTAATTTCACTGTTTCGTATATAGATGGATGTGTATGCTATCTGAATGTTTTATGTAGTAGCATTCAACTGTTGATTTGATTTTGTTGTTCATTTAGGGGAGAAAATTATTCCAGAGTTTGGAGATAGCAGAAAGATTGAAATTTATAATTATGTTAGGTAAGTAGCATAAAATCAATTTTTTAAGTTTCCAAGTGGCTCTTGGACTAGTGATATTATCTCAGCTTGATGCTGAGACCTAACCATTTGGGCGCTTCACCTTCTGTCAGCTTCCATCTCCAGAATTAAATAGGCATTTGAATCATGGTTGTTTGTTTGGGGATGGTACAAAGGTAGGTGCCAGGAAAAATAACTTTGCAGAAGAGCTATGAGTATGTTAGAGTAAGGGCAAACTATAAAAAAATATGCCCAGGAAAGGTTGTCATTTTGATGGTTATTTGTTGTCTTGTGTTGCAGGAGGTTTCTGAAATGGGTTAGAAATTGTATGACACTAAAGAAAACTGTCCCTGCACTAGCAGTGCTTGTGTACCAAATCCGAAGCAGGGAGAAGCAGGACTCAAATAAAAAGACGGAAAATAAAACGAGGGCTGAGAAGTGTATTACTGGATCCAGGCTTTTGTTTCTGGCTTTACCTACAAACTATCAAACATTACTGTGGATGTGAAATTTTTGCTGAATCTGGAAGTGGAACTGTTTTGTGGCTTTTAAAACTTGATTTCTTGTGGGGTTTTATGTATGAACCATGGCGAGGGGAAGAGCATGAATTAGCAGTTTGAAGCTTTAGCAGTAAGTTATTATCCAGAGCCAACAGTAATACTGTTGAAGTTAGTTAATGTCAGTAGAAACAACTTTTTCATTTAGCAGTTAGTGTTTGGGTGCTGAAATTCTGACTGCTTTGGAAAGTCATTTGTTAACAAAGCTTCCTGAAGCATTTCAGTCCCCTTCAAGTTGAATGCAAGTTACTGGTAACCTTTATCCACTGAAAAACATTCATGTCCTGACTTGGGAATTATTTTCTCAATAACATCTTGAAAACAAGTTATAAAATACTGCTAGTATTATCTGCAAGTAGCAACAAATTGATCTTCTATATGCAGGTATTTTTAAGCTCTTTTAGGGATTTATTTTTTTTTTTTAAGTGGAAAGACTGTTTTAATTTATTTAATTTATTTATCAGAGACTGACACTCTGGATTTACCAATCCTGCAGAAAGATTTTCGCTGTTAAATTAGAGGTGCTACTTAACTTTCTTTGGCTTCAATTTTCTGTGATAATGATTTTATTTTCAATGTTTGAGAATTCACTTTCAGATGATGTGGCAATGTCAATAAAAAGCCAAAGTTAGGTGCTTTTTATTGGGATGGGGTTTTATCTGATATCCTGTTTAATTGGTATCACTTTTTTTGTAATCTTTAAATTTTTATTTTTCTGTTTGTTTTTCAAAGGCTGTGTAGATGATATTGTAACTGTATTGGCTGAAGAACATGGTTGCCTTGCTATTATTAAGGTTTGTGGAACTAGTTTGCTCTTCCATGCTGTCTTATCCAAAACTTTTTATTATTGTTGCATAGTATTTCACCCCAATTCAGTGTGTGTGTGTGTGTGTGTGTGTGTGTGTATTGTTTATTGTTTAAATAAATGTACACACACATATGGTCACTTGATGTATTGGAGTGTGAGGAAAAATTTTGAAGTCTAAACTACATACCTAAGATCCTTTCAAATAACCAGTACTGGTAATACTCATTCTTTCCTAAAATTATGGTCAGTCTTAGTAAACGTTAATGCTCTCTGAATAGTTTAAAAAGTTACAAATTTTCTTTAAAGTGTTGGGAGTTAAGTACTTTTCTTCTAGAAATTTAGTCTTCTATCTGGTCCACTTTATACATTCTGAGAGTGTAGGTTTGTACAGTTCAACTCCTCCCCACCCTTAATATTAATCACTGAATTTTAGTGTCTGTATGCTTTGAAGCATTGTATAAAAGGATTCTGACTACTAGCAGAAGAGCGTTCCCAGGTACTGCATTGTTTCAAGCTGGATACAGAATAACTAAATTAAAAATTAAATAGCTGCATACATTGCAAATTTTTCAGATTTTTTTTTTTTTCCCCAAAGCAAATGCAGGTTTGGGAGATAAGAAGAATTACTTCCTCAGCATTTAGGTCTGACACAGCTAACCTCATGTGTGTAGGTGTGAAATTTTATTGCCTTCAAAGGAGTAGCCTGTATGTTAAAAGTTAAGTATGAGCTAAGTGGCTTGCTGAATTAAGACAGTAATAAACGGACCTCCTCCATATTTTTCCTATGTTCCAGGACCTTTCTGAAAATATCATAGTTCTATTGAAGAAATGCCTTACATTCCAACCTTCTAAGAGGCAAGTATTCAGTCCGAATGCCTAGTAAACTCTGCTGGGATACCATGAAGTTAAAAGACCTGTTGTTGAACCTTTTTTGGAATACTGACAATTTGTGCTACCCATTAGAAATTCTTGGTTGCGTTGCTTTTCAGTGTTTAAAGGAAAAGAGGGGCAGGGAATCAAGTGCGCAAAACCTTGAGACTGAATCTAAGTATTTTGGAGGCAAACTCTAGAAGCATTTCTAGTTCTAAGTTCACAGCTTTTACTGATTCCGTGTCTGGAAGTTGGTGGTGGTTACTATAGTTCTGTTGTAGCAAGAATTAGGGCTGCTTTCTTCAAATCTCTTCTTTCAAAATACCTTTTCATTATGCTGGTCTACCACAACTTTCTTCTGAAAACTGACGTATGCTTTTGTTCTTTAATCAAGGCTTTGCATTTGCATTTTTTCCATCTCTGCTTAGAGGAATTAAAGGGGAATTAATAAAAAAGTTGCTATGAACATTAAATGAAGGTGAGTTCTGAGCTCGGGGTGTAAGCAGACTGCATGATGTGTTATGCATCATGAATCAAACAAAATTGGTAGACGTTTTTGCTATTAAAGTTTCTGAAATCTCAAATAATCTAAAGTAACTTGATAAAATTTGTTACTGGAGACACTTCTAACTGAAATTTAACTTTTTTGGAAGGACTTTACTCTTAATGTTTCATTCTCTTTTCTTAATTCAAGGCCAACTCCAGAGGAACTGCTGCATGACAGTTTGTTCGGTGAAGTATCCTCAGTATATCCTCCCTTCCACAAACCTACTGGTCTGTTTTCATCTGCTCCAAGGTGTGCTGATTTAACGCTTCCTGAAGACATAAGTCAATTATGTAAAGGTAAAGCAGGTAGTGGGATAAATATCATTGAAGGGGGAAGGAAAATAAAATGTTTTCATGTTTTCTTTGAATACTTTGTTGGAGAGAAACTACTAAATGTTACAATACTACATTGTTGTATTAAATTGTTTAATGGGAAAAGAATACAGGAAAACATGTTTTGAGGGATGTGTGCAAGTCAAAGGAAAGGCATCTTGATTTTGTGCTTTGACCTCAGGGAATAAATAGTTTAAATAAAAAAAAAAATAAATAGTCTTATGAGGAGCGGCTGAGGGAACTGGGGTTGTTTAGTCTGGAGAAGAGGAGGCTGAGAGGAGACCTTATCGCTCTCTACAACTACCTGAAAGGTGGTTGTGGCGACGAGGGTGTTGGCCTCTTCTCCCAAGTAACTAGCGATAGGACAAGAGGAAATGGCTTCAAGTTGCGCCAGGGGAGGTTTAGATTGGATATTAGGAAAAATTTCTTCACTGAGAGGGTGGTCAGGCATTGGAACAGGCTGCCCAGGGAGGTGGTGGAGTCGCCATCTCTGGAAGTGTTCAAGAAACGTGTGGATGTGGCGCTTCAGGACATGGTCTAGGGGACATGGTGGCGCTGGATTAATGGTTGGACTTGATGATCTTGAAGGTCCTTTCCAACCTAGTGTTTCTGTGATTCTGTGATTCTGTGATAGTTATAATTAGTATTCAAGGCCAGCTTGGAATATTGGTATCATCTTTTGCCTTGGACATATGCATATTCAAGGTAGGTTTTTTTCACTACATTGTGTTGTGAATTGGTAATTGGATTCTGCTGGATCATAGCATGAGGTGAATTTTGGAAGTATTGGAAAAATAAATCCTTGTGAAAGAGGTCAGAGTCTAGAATAAAAGGCAGCATTTCTAAGTTTAAAACTACGGTATGCTGAAAAGTGTTGCCACTCTTAAGTCCTCAGACTATTTCTGATTAACTTGGAGATTTCTACATGTTTAGAAAATCTCGTTGTACAATTTATGGAGACTTAAGATTCTATACCTTTTTAGTATGGCTATGTATGTGAAGGGAGAATAGATTGTAATTACTCAGTATGAATCACTAGTTTCTTATTTTTACTCTTAGCACTGTCGTGTGTACAAAATAGTTGTGGGTTGTTTTTTTTTTTTTTAAAAAGACACACAGGAAGCAAAAGTTAATGCTTCAATGTATTTATCTGATTGGTTCTATTTCCTGGCACCAAGGCAAGCTGCAGAAATATTTGCTTTTTTTTTTTCTTCTTCTGCCCATCTGCTCTTTCCTTAAATCTTTCTAAAGGGCACTTGCAAAGGGAAGATCACTTTTCCTCTAACTTCATATTAAGTTCTAGGACCTTTCAAGCATAGTAAAATTTTTTTTTCAACAGTATGTATTTAGAAGAAAGTAGGAAGAAGACTAGAAAACTTTAGGAAGAAGTACAAGCTGCCTAAAAAGCTATAACTCATTTTTATGTGATTTCTCCTAGTAGATGAAGATAGTGATTACCTAGCAGAACGATCAATTGAAGAAGTTTATTATCTCTGGTGTTTGGCTGGAGGAGACTTGGAGAAAGAACTTGTCAACAAGGAAATCATTCGATCAAAGCCACCTGTCTGCACACTTCCCAAGTAAGGAAGGAGAAGCACTTTAAGGGAAAGGAGGATGGATGGAGAAGGCCAGTGACTCTGAGTGAACATTTTGGTTTGATTTTTAGTTTCAAGACCTCTATGTATGAAAAATATTGAAAATATCATTCTTGAATAGCAGGAAATCATGTCACTTCCCTTCTTACATGATTCAAGGCATTATTTGAATGCCTTATATCTGTTGTCTTGCTTTCTGAAATTTGAAGAAATGTAGGTGAAGTGCAAAATACTGAACTGGAAGTCCCTAAATTTAGCACACTTTCCAATAGCATTAAGTTTTAGTAAAAATGTCTCTCTTTGCGTCAACAGCATGTTTGTAATTGTGATTTAATTTAATACATTCTGTAGCAAATTCTCACATTCTAAATTCTTTTTCACAAAGAAGCAGTGCTGAATGGTCAACTCGATTATTCAGCAGATCAGCTGATTACTTTTTTAAAACGCTTAGTTTTGAGTTATAATTCTGTAACAGCATTTTATTCTTTACTACTTTTTTCTTACTGCTGCACATGTTGCAACTTTACATAGTATATTCATGTTTTAATCCTACAGTCTGATCTTAATAAAGATAATTATGTGTCCATATAGGTCAATTTACTAGTTCTTGGTTTTAAAAATACATGAAGTCAGTGTACAGCCAAAATGCAGTGTCTTTGGGAAAAAAAAGGTGGAGCTAGGTTTTAAGTGATATTTTGGTGGCAAAATTAGTGTGGGATTTTGAGAGATTGCCTGTTTCTGTACCCATAGGTGTACATGTGCATTTGAATTATGAGGGCAAAACCTTTTTCGTCATATTATCTGTCTTGAAAATGAGGTGTTAATTTCAAAAATGCAATCTAACTCCATCTTCTGTTCTATATATACTGAGAATGTTAGCTTAATTTCTGGAAATCAGTTTCATGTTTTCTGCTTTAGAAATACCACCAAGTAGAGAATTTGTGTATACTCTTTTCTTGGATGCATTCGTATCCTTAGGTGGACTACAACAGAAAAGGTCTGGGTCAGACTTTGCTTGGTTTTTGTCATGGTGGGAAGTGGCTTTCATGTGACAATAATGTTTTATTTTTGCTTTCACAATAAATGACAGGCCTGATCTGTGCCAGGTCAAGGAATAAAAGGGGGCATTAATCCCATATCTCGTTACTCTTCCTTTGTGTGCAAACTGAAGTTGTAGAAAACCTGAAATGTGCCTTTTTACAGCAAAAACTGTTTGAATAATTTATGATGATTGTACATGCTCTTGATAGCAGGTTTCAAGCCATGCAGAGTCAACAGAATATACTTTTAGGAGCTAGTGTTTTGTTTTAAAGAGGAAACTGGTATAAGATTTTTATATTTTTTTCCTAACTCAAGTCTTGTGTTATAAAATGAACTGAATTTTTTTTCTCTCCCTTTTGAAGCTTTTTATTAGAAGATGGTGAGAGCTTTGGTCAAGGACGAGATAGAAGTTCCCTCCTAGATGACACAACTGTGACATTGTCTCTGTGCCAGCTCCGAAATGTATGAAGTATATTGTGCACTTGTTCTTATGTCTTTGCTGCAGAAACATTGTTTAAAGGGAACGTGGAACAGCAGCTCCTACTGCTGTTCCTACAAATGACAGTGTTACTGATTCCAAGGGAACACTTCTTGGCATCCAAGTCACGTTCTGATTTATGCTATTAAATTGCTTTGTCTACAAAAGCTTACTAAATTTGATTTATCTTCTGTCCCTCCTTCCCCTTCCTGTGTCCTTCCCTTTCCTTTTATTTGTTACCTGGTTTGTTCTGATGTAGCCCAAATAATTGTGTAGTACCTGATATTCTCCACAAAGGACAGCGAGTGTTTTGCGTTCTTTAATTCTTGTCTGTAGGTGGCTCACAATATTCAAAAGAAAGATCAACTGAATTCAGTTACGGCTCCTTAAAGGCTCTATACTTGAAGTTGGATACCGGTTTTTCAGTAGTTAATTACTAATCTTTGACATTATATAGCTATTAAACAACTAGTTCAAAAGATCACTTCAATGCATTTTGTCAAAATGCAGTAATGCAGTTTTCTTCCATCTATAGTGGAAAAATCAACATATGGTAACTCATAATTTTGCCTGATGTCACGATCAGTTACAAGATTTACTGTATATGTCACTGAAATGTTTTAATTTTTCACATGTCTTTGCACATGTAGAGCTTTATTGCTGAAGAATTTGAAATTTATGCTGCACTGTTTGCAGAAGCGCAAATTGTAGTAGGAGGAGATGCAATTCTGTCACAGTTTTCATAAAAAAACCTTTACATATGATTATGGGGGTTAATACAGAAAGAAAGGTGACTCCTGGAGTCTTGATCTCTGCCATCATTACCTTAATTGTGGAGGCAATGTAGCAAATACTGTGTAAACATATTTCTTCAGTAGAACTTTGCATTACTTCACAGAAATGCATGAAAACAGACCAAAGAACTGTGTTTTTGTTTGCTTGGTTGGTGGAGTTTGGGGAGCAGGACAGAGGGTGTTAAGAATATGCAGTAGTTATTTTAAAGGTAATACACATTGCAGATCCTACTGTTTTTCCTACAAAAGGGCAGATTGTACAGCTTTTTAAAAAACTTTTTAATCTGTAATTTTGGATATTGCTGCCTACTTCTGTACAGCAATATCTACAGCAGCAAATAAGTATATACTGAAATTTCATTTTGGTGAAGGTACAAGTCTGAACCTTGCAGTGTTAGGTGAAATAATTTTTTGAACTTATGCAGTTCTTCAGACACCTTTCATAGAGCAGAGCATGATGCTTATAATCAAAAGAGGATCAGTACTGAATGAACTGAGAATGAACTGTTCTGTCAGTCCCAGGAGGAACAGGCTGTATGCCGTATGCCTTTAAGTTAGGGACTGAACTGCAAAAACAGAGCACTGCAGGGAGGATGGTATTAAACATTAATCGTGATGCACCAAAGATGTCTGAAGACTTCAGGCAAAAGTCCAGGCTTGCTTGTCTGTCACCTTTCCAGAGAGCATCTGTATTTCTGTGCAGCTTTCAGATGCTGCTACTAAAAGGAACTCAAATTTCCATGACTCTTGAACTGACTAAAAATATAAAACCAAGTTGTGCAGTTGCTTTGCAGCTATTTGGCTAGGAAGTCCATGCAGAAAAATGAGGAAAACAACTATGTAATACTATATGAATATATAATATATATTATAGAAATATAAATCCATGGCCCATAGAAGCTATTTTTTGTGTGGAAATAGGTTTATGAATGAGATGAATGATATTTTCAGGCAGAAGAACTTCCATCAACTCAAAAAGCCT